TAGCATTGTTCAACGAGCTTATAAATAGTACAGCTGAAATGCTGCAAACAGAAAACAGTTTTCGATGGGCACATGCTATGAATGAAGAAATGTTCAGACACAATGTGCAACTTGGAGAGCTTTCATCAAAACTAGCCAAGAGGGAAAAAAGCCTCATTTCCTAACCACGCTGTGTTTTGGATAAGCTGGTCACATAGAAAAACCATCACGCTCCTCTACAGAGAGTAAAGCTTTTTAAAATAAGGGTTAATATTTTTTATGGGGGAAAAAAATATAACCTAATCTATTGGTACTTGTTGAGATTTTTCTAATGGCTTCTGCAAAACATTTAATTTCTATAATTTGATATTTAATAACTGCTAAGGTTTGAACCTTGCAATTGAGGCCAGTCATTTGCGGTAGTCATTGAAGGTATAGAAACGTCTAGTTTTAAGATATTGTTTTTGTTTCAAGTAAAATACTTCTGTGTACAATTTTAAAACTAAAAATTATGAGCATTGTTCTAATAATAAAGCAGAGTATTTTCAATCTTTGATATTTGGGGAAAGGGGTGAAGGGAGGAAGACAAAGTGGAATAGGGTAAAGAAGGAAATGTCAAAGTAAGATTTTTTATAATGTTGCTGCAAAATTGCAGTTCTCCTACACAATATATCAAAATATGCCTCAAATGGAATTTAATATAGAAATTTCTTAAAAAACATAAATCTGAGAACTATTGTTTCAGTTATCAGTGGACACCTGCCTGTCACTATTAGCCAAGAGGAGTGTTCTTGTATGATGTGATCCCTCTTTTCTCCTGCAGACGACTTGCAATTTCACCATGTGAAGTCGGTGGAACACTGCTTTCCAGTTTAGTAGGTAAACCGCCTTGTCGCTCTTTCTCTTTTGGAGAAAAAGGCTGCCTTGCCTCAAGAGAGGCACACTGACTAAAGCATTTTGCAAACAGGCATGAATTTAAGTCAACTTCACGCACTGCAGAGAGGGAATCTCCTACACAGGGGGGAGCCCGAGCATTCTCCGGCGGCTGGCGGGGGCTGGGAACGCGGCAGAGCGCCGGGAGCCGCGGGCAGAGCTGTGCGTGAGGGGCTGGACAGAGGTGACTGCGGGAGCTTTGGTGTAGCGAGGCCAATTTGTTTGTCACCTTCTTCTCAACTCAGAGCAAGCTCTGTACTTTATCTTTTTGCTTATTTTAAAGGAATTCGCTGTAGGAATTTTAGCTTAATGGCCACTTTCTCTTAGCTTAGAAAACCAAGCTTAGCCTAAAAGAGAAACATGTGAATGCTAATTATGTAAATAATTAATGCATTTTAGGGATTGGTTTCCAAAAGGTGGAACAAAAAAGGATAATTTAATTCAAAGACCGTCAGAACAGATGACTTTCAGAACTGGAAATATTCTTTCCTTTGAACTGCTTTGAGAGACTGAAAAGCTTTAGCTCTTTATTTTTGGTAAGACACTGTGCAGGTAAAAGACTTTGAAGACTACAAAGAATAAAAAAGTTTGATGCCTCACTCTTCTGTGAGATTGAAGTAGCTGACGAGAGTAGTGACAACCAGTGCTCTGACCCAGAAGCCACTTCCTTGACAAATCTGCAGCATGGCACAATTGCCTGAGTTAGCCTTTTGTGCTGATGAAAATTCAAATACTGCTCAGAAGAACAAGCCACGGGGAGATCTCACCAGCAGGTGTACCCCTGAGAACACTGCTCTGGCATCCTTAGCACTGCTTGGGGCAAGAAGCACTCCCCAGCAGCTCCAGAGAATGCCTCCTTAATGTTCCATTAAGCCAAAAAGAGCTTTTCAATCTTTTAGCAACTTCTGTCAAGTTCAACACTAGGTCAAATATGGGCCACGTGTGCATTCTCTCCTGCCAATACGGCAAGGCACATGGAGGGCTACATTAAGAGAAGCACAGCTGATCAGGTGTGCCAGGCCATCAAATCCATGCACTCCAATAAACCTGGAAATCCCTTTCCTTCCCTGGCCAGAGGCAGGATCCCTCAATTTCTGGATGGTGTATTCATCACCTGATCCTTTTTCTGCTAACCAGAACTTCCACACTGGGGTCAAAGGCAGTACCAGTCCTTCTGTGCTGCTGGGGAACTGCTCAACAGCAACCGGAGTGGTAATTCTCCTGTATGGGCCCTTTTTAGCCACTAAATTCCTCACAATTCACATACCCCAGCTTCCACTTTTGAGGGCTCTCACTGCCCCATGGAGATAATGCAGACAGAACCACAGCGTGACACACCAGTGTGCACATGGTACCTCCCCCCTGAGCAGAAAACATCTCCTTTGTCAGCCTGCATGGTGGCTGGTGGGGAGGAGGAGGAAGCCTTTGAACAGCTGGAACTGTCGGGAGTCCCTCCCCAGCTGAGGCACGGGCCTGCAGGAGTGGGTGGGAGAGAGATTCTCTTTGAATTGCTGGAGCAGACTGGCCAATCTACCCACAGCTGGGGCCCTGATGTCTGGCCAAGTCACGAGCACCAGGTGCTGGCATATGGTGACAGTGCTCCATGCAAACTTCCACTGCACTGGATTTCATTTGGGTCTTCAGATGCCTGGTTGTTATCCACGCTGCTGCAGATCACCTCCACCACTGCTAACTCCCCCACAGACTGGATGCTCTGAGTGGTTGTCCACTCTTGCCTTAACAGTTTGCAAGACCTTCTTCACGATGCTTCTTCACACTCAATGCAAGCTGCCTCCAGAGGCTGCTGATTTTTGCTCCTTTTCCAATCCTTTTGTTGATCCCCCATTCCCTTGTGAGGCATCCCAGCTGCTGGGCTGCCTTGCTCTCTAATTCCTCACGGTTGGCTCCAGTAGCACAGCACTGCAGCAGCCAGCTGATAATTAGCTCACCAGGCTGATGGCTGTAATATTTATGTGTATCTTGCAGCTTACTCAGGGCTAAGGAGTTGATGATTTCTGCCTTGTTCATGATTTCTGTCTCTTTCCCCTCCTGTTCTTGTGACTGTTCTGCTGCACAACAGGCTGCCTCTCCAAATCCTCCTCCTGCTCCCTCTTGGGAGAAGCTTTCTCCCTGACTGAGGTAATTTGCTTCTGCCTCCATTGTTTCTTTGTGATAAAAGTTGAGAGGTGGGTGTCTGGCTTAGCCATGGTGCTTTCTGTGTGTCTTCAGACACAGAGACCCTCTAAGGGTGCTGAAGAGTTCTTGGCAGCATTAGGCCAGGCCCAACACAGTGTGAGAAGTTGTGTCCCTTTAGCACAGCCAGGGCATCCTTTTCTCAAATGTACTGTTGCTTTTTCAGGATCCTGCACTTGTTTGGCAGTCAGGTGCCACACCATCAGAAGTAAAAACTGTTCTAGATACCTCACCACCCACGACCACACAACCTCAGAGCACATCCCTGTGTGATATTCCTAAATACTGAGTTAATCCTAGGAAAAGCTGGATACAGATTCTTGAGACACATTCTGATTACCCAGGAGTGTTCAAAATACTGAACAGTCATTGTAACAAGGTGGAAAGCAACCCTGCAGGAGGCGAAGGGGAAGGTGCTGTTGTTTCCTCCACAACTGTCTCTCAGAGGAAAGGAGAGAAAAGGTGTAATTGTTAATTATCTCCACAAGATGGTTCCCGAAGTACTGGGACAGCAGCAACGCATAGCCCAAATACCAGATTAGGCTCAGGGCCAGTGCTTTCATCATAGTTCTCCAAGGGAAAACACAACCAAGTGCCACACAGCACAGCAAACTGCAAAAGACAAACCCAGCCCTCAACATGCTCTCAATTGTTGTGTTTACTCTTGAGCAAGACAGGGAGTGGGTCCCTGCATCAAGAGTGAGTAAGTCAACATCACAACCAGCAACAGCTGAACAGGCATAAAAGGTTCCCTGTAGCACACTCTGGTAAAACATCTTATTATCTTGAGCCCTAAGTGTCCATCCTGGGTACCAAAAAGAATTGTGTTGGACAGCAGCTAAGCACCTCAGAGCAGCTCAGTCTGTGCCCCCCACCATGGGATGTACTGTGGGCTTTTAGCTCTGTACAGACAAAGGATGAATACAGTCCCTCGTGGAGGATTTCCTGGGCTGAGATGAAGCACATCTGGGGTTAGACATGCCCATCCAAGTTCAGTGTGCTGCATCCCACCCTCTGTGCCCAGCACACAGGAGCAGGGAGCAGCTTTCCTCTCTATCCAGCTGAGGCAGTGTGAGGCCAGGGGCAGGCAAAAAAGGGTTTTTTGTATTTGTATGATTTGCTGCTTTACTAAAGGAAATGCAAAATCATTCGAAGCGTGTTTACAAGCAGGTGAGGGAGATTTGAAGAATATAAAGGTAGTCTACTGAAGTGCCTTATGATTAAAGCATACTTCCCCTTGGTATTTCCTCTTGCTTCAGCTTAGTGAGCATGAGTGGGGGTAAGGAGATCCTCAGATGAGAAGAGAAAGAGCTTTTTACTGAACTACTTCTGTTCCTGGAGCAATTTGAGGCTACAATCCTAAAGGTCAAAAATATTGTGGGAAACTGAAATTGATGCCACCAATAAAAGACACAGTTTTAGTAGATTCTTCTAAAAATCCCTAACAATTAACAGAAAGAGAAGTGTCTCTACACTCTACCCCAGAGAAGAGCAAGTGAGAAAATTTGTGGGTTGAGTTAAAGACAGTTTAATAGATAAAAGGGGAAAAAATGAAAACAAAACCATGAAAAGCAATCACTACCACTTTTTTGACAGTCCCCAGCCAACAGACTCCTGGAACATCCCCCCTCCCCATCCCCAGTTTTTATTACTGAGCACGATCTTGTACAGCACAGACTATCTCTGAGGTGAGCTGTGCCCCCTCCTGCCCCTTGCCCACAGCCAGCCCCTCAGTGGGTGCTGGAGTGAGGAGCAGAGAAAGCCTTGGTAGTGTGCAAGCACTGCTGAGCACAGTGGGTGAGCAACGCTGTTTTAGTTACACATCCAAAACACGAGACTGCATAGGATACTGCCAAGAAAATTAACTCCATCACAAGTGGGATGCAGTAGATCAGGATAACTTTTTTATTTAAATTTGGTTTAAAAAGCAGCTGGGACCTTGTCCTGTATTTTGTGCATCTGTGGAATGGTGCAGCAATTCCATAGTGGTGATAAGCCCAGAGGAGCAGCCAGCAGGAATGTCTGGTTGAGTAGGTGGGTGACTGAAGTAAAATGGTGTGAATGCCTTCCTCAGTCCACTGGCCTCCCTCCCCCTGACCTGCTCTAGAGGTAGGTGAGGACAAGGAACCAAGGAGACAAAAATAAGACCATGACCAGACCAGAACAGCCCTAAGGTTACACATTGCTCAGAAACTGTGTGAGGAGTACATTAGTACACAGCAATGACTAGTTCACCCAGAGTCTGACAGACAAATACAATATTTTGCTTATAGGTTACCTGGAGGAAACAAGACAACAAAAACTTCTGAAGAATTACAGGCAAATACCTTAAACATAAGATTACTTGATAATATTGATAAGGGACAATTCACATTGTTTGTTTGCTATTTTTTAACATTAAGGTTTAATTATTTAAGAGCAATCAGAACATTGTGGTGATAAAAATACCAAAAAAAAGTCATTAATTTTTGGGGATTTCCCTTTATTGGTAACAAGTACAAATAAAAACTTGTATCTGCATGAAAAAATAAGCGAGGTGTACACAGTTTTGTGGTATGTTTGGTGTTTCTTTCACACAGCTGAGGTGAAGTGACTCAGAATATCTCCAGCAACCCAAGTTTTTTGCAGCCCTAAATAATTATGAACCAATTAACATAGATGTAAGACTAAGAAAAGATGATGAATGGCTCTTACTTCATGTAATATGTAAAAACAAGAGCCAAAGAAAGCTGAAATGTGACTCTGGTTGAACTTAGGTAGTTCTTTCAAGCACATTTTTTTTACAACTTCAGGGAACTTAATGGGTAACTGCCTGGAATAAACCACAATTCTCAGTGCTTCTCTTCTGTCTTCAGCCTTTCTGCTGCAGTAACAAAAGTAACTCAGGGAGAAGTTCCAGTCTTGGGAAGAAAGAAAATGCCAGAGCAGGAAAGAGAAAAAGTGTAAGTAAGAAGGGGTCTGGTGTTGAAGCCATTCTCCAGAACAAAGTGAGTCCTGAGTTCTGGATGCTGCTCCTAAACAAAGATTGGGACTCAATCTTATTATACATAAAATATCATGGTATAATGTGGGCAGAATGTACACAGAATATTATGTACACTACACAGGATATATTTTCAGTATATTTTTTAGAGAACAGAGTTTTTATTTATATTTTGCATTTGGTGGAATGCAACACTCTGATCTATGACAAACAAGCTGTGTGGCAGGGAGGGAGCACAGGGGGAAAAGGAGGGAGGAGAGAATTTAACAGAAATAACTCCACTTAGTGTTTGAGTGAGGGATGTAATGAAATCTGTTTGCTGTGCTAGCTGTCTCCAGATTGGGCTGTAATTACACCACAGAAGGAAGAAAGGTAGCTGAGTCTCAATCTAGATCATTTATGTAAACTCAGCCTTCTTGTCAACGGCATTCTCAGATTGCACGAGTGCAAACCACAAAAATCATCTCCTATGAACAAAACAGAGACGGTCTCAAATTGCAGGTTTCTGATACACCTTATAAGCTGTCTGTAATTGGACTTGAAAATCCAACAACTGAGGTTCAAAACTTCTCCAGTATTTTCTGCATTTTATTCAGTGCAATGACTACTCACAGAGGAGCATTCCTGCTTCCTTTTTGCCAAAGGCTGATGTCTAGCCTTACAAATTAACATTTATTTGGCTTAAATTAACACAAGTGTCACAAACATAGGAAATTCTTTTGTGTAAGACTCTGTTGAAACAAACTGCTGGATCCGAGGGAGGGATATTCCCTCCCCCAGAAGAGTTGGAAAAACCTCATTCTTTGACCCAGAGCAACATTTTACATAGGCACAGTATAAACTCCAGGCACTCAGTTCCCTTAACAGAGCCAAATTAATATTTGATTAAATATTTTAAAGCTCCTACTTACCATGCTTGACACATTTTCTCAGCAAGTTTCTCAAATACAGAACTCATTAGGCACAGGGTAATTTTACATTTGAATACATAAAAAGAGTGTGAGGAGACATAACTGCGTGCAGACAGAGAGGGATTTTCCCCCATTAATCCCCCAAACTGCCCTTCCCGTTGGAAAAGGGAATGTTAATTCCCGGTTTCGGCAGCTCACTCTCTCTGGGCAGGTTTGAGCGGGTTTCTCGTGACACCTGGATCTTCACGCCCTTCCATCCATCCCTCCCTCTGGCAGGAAAACCACCGGCCTCCGCCCTGGCGCCGTCCCCGCTGCTGCCCAATCAATACCGCCTTATTTCCTGTCCATTTGCTGAGGTCACGGAAACGGGACTCATTAATTATTTCTACCGGTGCAGCCTCAAGTGCGCTTCTGGCACGACAAGCGAAAACCGTCTGTGACCTTTTTTCTTTCCCCTCCCGAGTTTTGCTGGTGGCGGCGGCGGCGAGCGCGCGTTCCTCTGCCGGGACGGGCTGAGGGGGCAGAGGCGTGAGGCGGCACCGGGGCTGCTTCCACCTGTGGAGGCGTGAGGCGGCACCGGGGCTGCTTCCACCTGTGGAGGCGTGAGGCGGCACCGGGGTCCCGCCGGGCTGCTTCCACCTGTGGAGGGAGAGACGCTCGTCCCGGAGCAGCAGGTCAGGGAAACCTGGTCACGGCGTAGACAATGTTGGCCAAGGCGTCCCTGGCCTCCGAGGGAGGGAATCGCTCCAGGGCTGCCAGCGCTCTGTTTCCGTGGCAGCGGCAGAGGTCGATGGCAGAAGTGACACCTTTGCCAGCCTTGATCGCTTCCTGCAGCTGTTGGAAAACACAGGCACATCGGTGTGGGGGGCGTTTCAGCCGTGCACAATTATCTCTGGGAGCACAGGGCTTCCGCCGCCTCTTCCCGAGGTAAAGGCAAAGCCAAAGCCATCAGACAAAGCCCTTAAATCCTCTCAGCTGCTCTGTTTAGCTCCCCACTGCAGCGAAACTGTGTAATGGAAACCACACCACCCGTTACTTATCACCTGAAAGATGCTGATCTCCAAAGGGCACGCTTAAACTAAAAAAATAAAATTAAATTTTTAAATATCTGAACATTTCATACCTCAGCCACCGCCTGAGAGCTTTTGTTCGGAACTGGCAAAGCAGCCATTTGCTCACACTCCTGTTTTCTGCAGTGAAAACCTGCATTTTGTGAACACCCATTCCATCCCCTGCTTTCAGAAACCAGCACAGGACGACACAGGTGGAACGACTGTGTTTTGTAATAAGGGTTTCTATTTATAGACCATGCAATTACATTGCTCATAGTGGACAAAAGCAAATTTTGTCAGTAAAATGTGGTAAACTATCATACTGAACTCATGCAACCTCCATCTTATCAATAAGGCTAGAGAATTTGACAAAGGCTTGGTGACACACCATATGAGAGAGAATACTTTCATGGAATAACTGACATTTCATAGCAGGTTGCTGGAAAGATTTGGCACCTTAAAAACTTGGGTAAATGCTGGGTAAAATTTCCTATAAAATAATACAGACAAAATTGACAAAGTAAAGCATGTTATTTCACCCATACCTGAACTTAGCAGAACTCTAAACAGCTTTTATTAAGGACTTTTTTCTTTTTAATTAGTATTTTTTTTTGAACAGCATAATGAGACTGTCATGAAACACTATTATATTTTCTACTCTAAAATGCAGGTGTTCCCAGACCAATTCCAGCCTGATGCCTCATCCAAGAGCCTGGGAACAAAGGCCAGGTGGATCTTTGGGATTTGATTTTTCTAAAAGCTTTACAGCATTTCATGACCTTTAACACGCCCTACACAGCTTTCACAACTGTCTTACATCACTGCACCAGCTCTTTTAAAAAAAGGCTTTTCTTAGATACAGGTACCTACAGTAACAAACTATACAGGGTTTCCTAAGTCATGTTTTTCACCAATGTTTTCACAGCTCAGTGCCCAAATTATTTAAAAAATACATCACTATGGTTTCTACCTATCCAGTTTAAATCATATATATATATATATATATATATACACACATATCTTAAGAAAAATCCCTATATATGACTAGATTGTATGTCATCCCCTTTCTATACATACTTGCAATCATACGGAATGAATGACGCTTCTTATCTGAAAGTGGATTCATTATCTGTATTTAAAGATGAAATTAGCTGAAAGCATATTACAGTACTTGAGTGTTCAAGTCCCAGTTCATAAAAATTTTATTCTCCTCTTCAGTTGGAATCTTCCTGCACTGTGTGCTGGAAAGGAACTTGCCTTGAGGCATAAATGCATCACATAGCTAATTCAATATGTCTTCTAATGAGTGGGAATCAGCCACATCTCCAGGGCTCTGCAGCAAAGGTGAGGGTAGGTGAGATGAGGTGCTCTAGCAGTGTGCAAAGGTGTCCCTTCCTCTTCTTTGAGGCACAGCCTTGTGGGGCAGTAGAACCCCACACATCTTGAAGCAAACTCTGCTGATTTGCTAAAGCTTATTAAAAAGCATTATCATAAATCTAATACTCATGGAAGCATATACTGGGATGTAAACAGGAAAGACAATAGCTCCTAGAAGGTCTTCAAATTGGTGAAAAGCCAGAGAAGCTTGGCTTAGGCATATATATGTTCATATGTATGTACCATGACTTAGCTGAAAGAGCAGAGTCTGGAAAGGGGGAGAATCCTGACACAAGGGCACAATCCATTTACACGCCTGTCTTGTGTAAGCTCTCCAACACATGCACTGCTTTGAAGCCAATACAATCGCCAAGCTCGTGCCAAACTATAGGCAGAGGAAGCACTACACAAAAATCAGACTAATCCGCTGTTGAATGTTTCCCAGCGAAGCTCAAGGAATGTCAAAATGGAAAATACCTGCTTATATGGCAAGCTTTTCAGTTAGAGATCATTCTACGTAATGAACAATTTATAGGCCTCAAAAACGTACCTGTTTTGTATTCCGTTTGCAGAAGCTGCTGGTCAGCTCAAATAAGCATACACAGAGGCAAAGCAGACTGAACTAACCAGACTACACACTAGCTCTAGCTCAGCAGGGGTTGTGAAAAAAAAAAGGGAAAAAAGAAGTACAAACGACTTGCTGTAGTGGGAAAGTTCTTAAAGAAATACAGGAACCAACTCTGTAACAAACCAGGCTTCAGCAGCCCTGCTGCATGCAAAAGCCCCCTAATTTAAGACTTTAGTTGTACTCTTGGTTATATTACAGTTACGTTTTCAGACTCTCAGATTTTGAACTTCAATAATTTTATGTAAGAACTTCACAAACTAAGGCCACAGAAGAAAAAACCAGCCCTGCTGCATGCAAAAGCCCCCTAATTAAAGGCTTTAGTTGTACTCTTGGTTATACTACAGTTACATTTTCCGACTCTCTCTCTCAGATTTTGAGCTTCAATAATTTTATGTAATGAACTTCATAAACTAAGGGCACAGAAGAAAAAAATCAATGTATCCAGTGTAGATGCATTATTTTTAAATTTGGATAGGAACAGCTGATTTTCACAGCAAATGAATAGAAAAGCAACATTTACTGCTTCTACTTTTTACTTTATAAACTTTAGTTAAGCTGCCTCATTGATTTCTTCTAAATATAAGAATCTGCTCTTTTAGTCTCTACTTATATGGCGTATTTAATTTTGTGCATATTTCCACTTGTAGGAACAATTTAATCCACACAACCTTCTTCAGAATGATATTCAGTAATTAAAACTGAATACAAGTCAAAACACAGATTGTTTAGCTACACTTTTCTCCAGTTGAACTGCTAGATATGCTGGAATACTGCATTTTTGCTTTTAAGCTTTTGTTCAGACCATTGGCATTAAAGCCTTACTTCATTCTACAAGTGCCAAGACTCTGAAAAAAATCACCAACTGGGTTTTGGTTATTTAAATTCAGCTTAAAGAATAGTCTTGCAATAGTGCAGCCAAGCTGAGGCTCAGATGAGACATGATCTCCTCCATAACGTGTCTGCAATCTGTGCCCTTGCAGATAAACTCAGAACTTAACTGAGCAAACCCACACTGGCTCTGCTTTGAGTGGGAGGCTGGACCAGACATCCCCAGAGGTCCCTTCCAGCTTCCATTACTGCATGATTCTGTGGAGAGTTCAAAGTACCACGTTTCTCAGTCTGTTTGTTTTAAAAAGGCAAAGGGAGGGCTTCTCATCCATACCACAGAAGGGAAGGATTTGCCTTTCAGGCCAGCGGCTCTGGACTGCTGTTGGACAGAACAGCTGGTCTGAGGGCAGCAAGAGGTCAGAGAGGAAAGCTAGGAACTGCTGGATTTTGGAGACTGAAGAACTAAAGGAGTCAAAAACTAAGCAGGTGTTCAAGTACAAAGTCAACTAATTTCAAGGCTTCTCTGTTGAGACATTTCTGCTTCATGAGCCAAAGGAAAGAAGACTCACACAGCGCTGCCTGTAGGGAGCAACAAATCGGGGGCAGGGTGGGGCAGGAAGACTCACTGAATATGTGGTGAATATTTTGGCTGTAATAGACTTTATATGCAAAGGGAGAAAGAGAGCATTGAAATTCCTGATTTTCTTTTTCCTCCTCCAACGCAGGACTAATTATTTCAGTGGCAAAATGTCAAAAGTAACTTCAGATTTTTTTGACATTGTTTTAAATGGATGATCCTAAACCAGAAAATTTGTTATCTACTGAAATCTATGAATATCATTCATTCTCTCTGATCCTGAAGTGAGCTAAAACATTCTACATTTCTGAAGTACACAGTACTTGCTGAAATAAAAATAAACTCCAGAACTCAAAATCTAAATTGATCAATGGCCAAGTGATGGAATAATGCTCAAAATGTCTGCAGTGTTCTGCCCTGGCTTTCCTAAATTTGTTTTCCCTTCTGTGGAAACAGCAAGCTTAATAAGTACTGGTGTTTTAGACTGCTGAAACATTAACCTTAAAAAAGTATCGACATATTTCATAGGTAGTAGATCAATTTTGTCAAATTTTTTCTTTGTTTTCTAAAGAAGTACTTTGGAATGTTTCAGCATCCATTCTTGTGGCTGGACAGAGGGTTGAGCTCTTGCTTCTCAAAAAAACCCTGGACAACCATTTATTTGCATGACTTCATACCATCATAGGATATAATTTTTTTTAATGTCTATTTTTTAAAATGTTTTGTTTGCTATATGCAGCATGATATGCCAGCTGAAACTGGGGCAGTATTTATCAAGTATTTTCAGCGAAACTTTTTCTGTACAAAGGGCCCAAATGCCCTGCAGAAGCCTCCATTAATAGAGTAGAATTTATATCTTTATTCATCTGACAAACAGAAAAAATTTCTTTTTACTTCAAATGGAAACACCCACTATATATAGGATGAGACCAAATGTGGGGAGGGTTGTCCCCAACAGGAAAGGAACTGCTTACAGGGAACACTACTGTTACACAGCTCTTATAATACTCTGCCAAATAATTACAACCCATCCTGAGACACTGATTGATTGTACAGATTCTTTATTATTTTGGAAGGGACACTAAAGCCTTTCTATTCTTTCACAATGAATTTAACAAGACCCACTAGTTTTTAAATCTAAACAACAGCAGTTGTGAAGATTCTTTACCCAAAAGCATAATTTTCTTAAATCCCACTAATACAAATAGTGTTTGTTAATTCTCATCTTAGCACACACAAGCAATCAACTTCATATTTATGTTAAAACATATTATTTGCTTAAATGAAACAAAAGTTATGCTGGATTTATACCCCAAAGAAGTGGGAAAATACCCACTGATTACAAACAAAGATGCAACTGATTGTTGGTACTGGATATGCACCTTGATAATTCAGATATTAATTCCAAAAAAATAAGAAAATTGCTTCATGTGAATGGTTTTGAATGCTTTTGTACTGCTAACACATCTAAAAAGCCCCATTGACTATGCTGTGTTTTTTTATTACACGTAACAAAAGGAGCTAATAGCAGTGGTTGCTCCAAAACAAACAAGACAAATCTTCATGCAAAACCAAGAGTCATAGGCATCTACAGACAACAACCCTCTATTTTGAACTCTCTGCTGCATTTCAGAAGCAAGAGGGTGAGCAGCCTGTGGCCTACAGTCCCATGACACACCTCATGGTGACTCCCTGGCATGGTAACAAAGCCATGGGATGACTGTCCCCTACCCCATGGGCTGCAGACCCGCAGCCAGCATCTCTGGCTGGCACTGTGCTGTTGTTATTTATTAGCAGCATGGCAGTAGGCTACCACTGAGAAACCTCCTTGTAACCAAATGTGACCTTTCCCATTCTTCTTCTCTCTCTCTCTTTGCCACCATCTGGGAAGTCAAGACTTTAGTGCCATGCAGTGTATGAACAGCTGGATCTGCCCCATCCTGACTCATGCCTTCCAGCACTGTACAAACTCAGCTCCTGGTGTTGATGCAGTGCACAATATTTCATACACAAACCAAGAAAGTATGTCACAGCATTCCATGGCAGACTATGCCATACTTTCCATGCCAGTTTGGATGAAAGGCCTCTATAACAGACAGCAGAGCAAATGGACAAAGCTACAGTGGAAAAAAAAAAAAAAAAAGAAAAGTTTTGCTATGTCCTCTTTCACTTGAATTTATCTTTTCTGGATATTGCATTTAGAAAAGTAACAAATCATTGCATAGCACAGTCATCGGCTGCAAAATACAAGATTTATTTATTTAGTATTATAATTTTTCTACAACCTTGGCCAGAAAACAAGAATTACTCCTAGCTTACTTATTTCTGCTACTAGTTGAGCCTTTGTTACACTCCTTTAACAAGCTTGTAAAATGCCAAGCACCATTAAGGCCTCAGCTTTAGCAGAGAGTTTTTAATCAATATTATCAGGTAGTAACAATTAAACTGAGACTCTCAATTTGTTGTTTGAGAATTACACAGCTTATCTTGCACGCAAGGTATGTGCAACATGGATAACAGCTTCTTGATTTTAAAAAGTCTGAGATTTTTGCTACATACATATGAGTGGGACAGGAAAGTTGCTGTTTCTTTCCATCACATACATGAAATTTGTCCCTTACACTGGTACTTTCCCTTGTATTATCTGAGAAACACCACAAAAACAGCTGAAAGAATTTTTTCATCTCTGGAAGAGACTCTCAAACAACACAGCAATGGATCAATAATTTGTCTGGATGCAGTGTGATAGCATAGGAAAAAACAGAGTAAAACACTCAGACACTAATGTGACTAATAAATATATATTCAGAACACAGACAATATCAAAAATCCTTCTGATAAAAAGATTCAATAAAGCTGAGATGAAAAATCCCTAAAAAATTTTGCAAAACATAGCGACCTTATTGACCTGGCAGTCTCAGACCTAATCAAATTAACAGAAAGCATTTCACTTCTATATTTGTGCCAGAGACCTGACCAAACTTGCTAGTATGACACAGGCATTTTTTTGTCAGTGAAAAAAAGCAGGGGTACCATTTTCATATAACATGCACCAAAAGAACAATTCAGAATTCTTAAGCAGTCTCAAAATTGAAATAAAATTTTTGCCTTTTAAGAAGGCATGTTAAATGTGTGGAACTCAATTTCTCAAATGTATTTTCATTATTTTAATTGAAAGTGCAGCAAGCAAGCAAAACTTTCTTAAGTTTTCGTATACATATGAGTTTAACTAAGAAATAATATTTTTATCTCAATTAAGTGGCACTGAAGTTCATAATAAAAACTAAAAGAAGAAAAATAATCAAATTTTTCAGAAGTTCTACAACTAATTTTGGTGAGCTTCGCTTTTACAAAACTAAAGAGGAGATATTTTGAAGGCTCAAAGAGACACAAGATTTGATTAGGAATGTTAAAGTAACTGTATCAACGGAATAGAAAGATGAGAAGCGACTGTGATGCTGAGAAGAAAAGACTGTGCAATGTGCAAAAATGTGACTCTAGTGATGGAAGAGGAAAGACGACACAGCAAAAAGCAAAAAATACTAATTTGTACAGCACAACCTGCCCTCTAATTGGCTGTATGCACGTGCTGGTCAAGTCATTCTGCTGGGGACAGCTACAGGTTCCTGAGTTCATTTAGCATAGATATAACTAATGACCACTTCTACTTTAAACCAACAGACACAGGAAAGAGGGATATGATAGCCTAGGCTTTTGAAACTGACCTCTAAAAAAAAAAAAAGCTGGAAGTTGTTTGAACTCACAAAAATAATGCACAATTTTTCACTATCATTCACCTCATAATATCTGTGCTTGTGCAAGAGATAATTACCCAAAACCAGCAAAAATCATGTGCTTTCTGGTAGCAGCCAATTGCTCAAAATACAAAACTTGAAGGGTTTTCTCTCTTTCTTTACCTTTTATTCAAGTGTCCAAGTTGCCTAAGCATAATGTAAGTTTTTAAATTTCATGTGAAGGATCCAAGATCTGAAACAATTTCAGTCAAAATACAGAATAGTCTGACAAATGTTTGATTTAGTAAAGCAAATTTAGATGCTTTTCCTTCCCCTTTGCCTTTTCTTTTCAATGTATGGAAATTACACTGTGTGGATTTGTGAAAATGACAATTGTGGAACACAATTATAACAATTTAAAGGAGAAAACTCATTCTGGACTTGCAAAAGTAACCTAGCTTAAATATTCACAGGAGTGTCCCCAAGACACATCTGAAGAATAAATTTGGTGCCCTCAGTGGTGATTTAGAAGAAAGAAAACTGATACAACTGTGACTGGTGTAGAGAACAACCTAAAAGCACAATGATTTTAAATGGCAAAGTAAGTTGAGATCCCTCTGCCATTCTAAGAGGAAGGAAGGGCAGTGAGGTTTTTAAATAATCCAAATTGTAATTTTTGTCAATACAGAATAATTACAATAATCTGACCTGTACTTGTGTGTTAGCCTTCCATATGAGCAGCAATCAGTCTGAGCTGTAACACTCTTCAGGCCCCACTTCAAGAAGCAATTCTCAATCATGCAAGTGGCTCAGTAATTTATATGTATAGTTATATATTTATATGTTATTTCCCACTGATGCTGGAGAAAACTGACTGGACTTCATGATCTGCTTAAGACTCAGAACCAGTCAGGCTCATGCTCAGTGAGCTGGGGACACAGTGTCACCTCTATCCACCACGAGTGTGCTTCAATATTTAACCATGTGAGCCATCTCCTGCAGCCCCTTAAGAGTTTCAAGGTGTCCCAGCTACTTCCAGTAAAGCTACTTAGTTCAGGTCTGCTTTTATTGCAGAGAAGGAGCAAATACAGTCTTGGAAAGCTAGAAGTTGTAATGGGGACTGGAAGAAACCAAATTATTGTATGTGTATATTTTTAATAGATGGCATGGAACAAAGGAGAGATAAAAAAAAAATTAGCAGTGTACTCTACCAATAGAGAGAGACCACTGATAGGATCTAACCTGCAAATGACTCCAGAAAAAAAAACCAGCAAAAGCCATCAGAAGGCTGGTTTGAAAATTGAGTTTGGGGAAATAAGTGGGAGAAATGACAGTAAAAATAATAATTCAATAACTACATTATTAAATTACTATTATTAGATACATTATTAAATTACTATTATTAAATAGCTACATTGTATAGTTACAGTACAGCTGTCTATTTATGGCTTTTTAAAATCAAGAAGTTGCAGGAGCCATTCTCCCTCCCTCCATATACACACATACACCTTACAACCTAGCTTTAATAAGTACCTCTCAGCTGTCAAGAATATTCTTGAAAATATTTTTAAAAATATTAAAAATGAGATATAAATATAATTTACCAACCTTCTTATAGTCCATAATGTTTCCTTTTCCTTGTGCCTTAAAAAGAAAGAGATTTTTTTTTATCAGACACTACATATTACAAACCAGAATTACAAGAATAAAAATGCAATTAAATGAGCTACTACTTTGAACATAACTTACTTTCTTTAGGAATCTGATACAGAAAACCCTAAAATACAACCAAATGTGTTACCAGCTTACACAACATGGTTCTGTTTCAGATGAGAGCTGCAGATACTCAGTGTAATTTTTAGGCTTTTTTATTATGATTTGTAGTTAAACATTTGGTGAATCCAAAATGTTTCGGTCTTAAGAAATCTTGCTGTTTGCATTAATTAATCTCTCCCATGAGATTCTGTAATAAACTCTACTTCCTATCAGCAACAACAGGATTTACTTCCTTTAAAGAGAACTCTCTGTATACTTACACTGGCTTGCATGAGGCAATAGTCTAGAGCTCCCAAAAGGGGCTGCTGGACCCTGTCAGAGCTGTTACCAGGCTGGAGGTGCTTTTGATTTAAGTATCAGCATCACCTTTTGAGTAAGCAACAGATGAATACAACCTGTAATTCCTAATACATTCAGAAAGAAATACAAACAAATTTTAAATTCCTTATTGCCCAGATGCAGGCAAATATGCTGTCCAACTTTCTGAATTTTGTCATATAATGATGTAGAAGATGTCCTTGTCACTTGTGCTCTGACAGAACCAGAGCATTAGCACTTAACCAAACTGAAAACCCTCCCCTGAGGTCTGATCTGGATGTGCCATTATCACTTCATCCAACTCCAGCTTTTTTTTCCAGATTCATTGAGGAAAAAAAATAACCTGTTTCTTTCTCTCTAGCTTCCTCAAGGGAAGACCCCAAATCTCAATTCTTCTGCAATGTGTCTCCTGAAAAGATGTTGATTAGGACTGCTGCCTCTCCATGTCCTCTGTGGGGACTTCAGAGATCAGCCCAAAGGAGCAGAAAACTGGGCTAACGAGAAGAGCTGAGACCTGCACTGAAGAGGAACACCATGTGGCAAGCACAACTTCCAAGAGATGTTGCCAAGCTGGCCCAGACTTGAAAAAAACCCCTAATTTTTGTAAAGGAGGAAATATAGAATAGAGAAAAGAACTGATGAGAGACTAAACAAACTGAACATGAAGGAGAACAGTAGATAACAGAACTGATTCCTCTGAAGGATAAAGGGGATTGATCCACAAAACCCCTTTGATTCTCTCTTTAGTCTTCTCAGGAGCCAGCTTTTCTGGAATGCATGTTAAGAAGACAGACTGATAGCATTTGGGAGTAGCAAAACCACTGCCAATTACTGCTTCCTTATTTGTATATTCCCATCTTCTTTGATTTGTCAATTTTTATTCACCTGATTGGATCTTACAGCTTCTTCAAAATATATCTAGTAGTTATATTGTATAACCAGAAACATATTCCTTAACAAGTGGTTGCCTATATGCAGATTCACACTGCAGCAAAGAATCTGACAACATGCTTGAGGAAGATGTTTTTCAGCTGCAGCAATAGCAGGAAAGGTGTGCTCAGTGTGCCTCCTCCTGTGCTTATTCTCATTACCAACAGCAAGAATATTTTCTCATGACCTGCTCCTGTCAAGCACTCAAGTCAATGGCTGTTGTGCTCCTCCAGGCAGCAACCTCATACAATCTGTCTCCTAAGCCTTCTTTACTACAACTGCACCATTGCTTTCTTTCCTTTTTTTATCCTCACGGTAGTACTTTGACTCTAACTTTTTCTGACCCTCATCTCAGACACACAGATGGTTTTTTTACCTTTTACATCAGACTTGCTCAACTGGTTAAGCTTCTGACATGGCCTGAGTGCACTGCATGTGCTTTACCTATTAAAACCACACAAATCACATTGCTTGAGAGGGTGGCTTATGAGTGCACCCTTACAAGCACTGCCAACATGAGAAAGTCTCTGGTTTGAGTTCTTGGCCTACACTGAATGTCACCTAGTGAATGTGACTGTGGGTGATATCTCAAAGAGCATGTAGTTAATCAAAGATAACTTTCCTCTCTAAACCAGCACAAGTCAAGAAAGGCTCCTGGACTAGGTGCTCCCTATTGAAGTTGGTAGTAGTGGTAGCATAGTAAATACCACGTATAAAGTATGTGTATAATAAATAAATGTATGAAGTACAGCTGTACTAGTAGGTAGCAAATACTTTTGCATAGTACATGTCACTTGGCACCCCCACCCTTTTCACACAGAACTCCTTCATTGTTTCCATAATGCCCATTTTTGGTAAGCAGACAGACAGCACTCCTGGAGTCCTGCAACCTCCTCTGGATTCTGCAGATGGGAAACTGTTTCAGAGCTTTTATACACTGTGCTGTGGAAATGCCATTATTCTCCAACTGCAATATTCCAAATCCATTTACATTCAACTCTCATATGAGCCTTGTGACTGTTGAATTCCAAAAATCCTCATAATGCTTTATGAACCACTAGTCCCTAATTTCGAAGTGGCAATAGGATTGCTTCATTTTCTTGTCCCCCCACTCTATACAACTGTAGAACTGTAGATTCTGCACACACCTCCCAAAATCTCACAGCTGAAGAGACCATGTCTCTTGCTTGCAGTACCTGAAGACAGAACTAGGCAGAGGTTTATATTCCACATCCTGCACCTGATTCCTGCTTTCAAACCAGCAGAGAAAGGAGCCATCAGCAAGCACATCTTGAATGAATTTGCTTGCACAGAGCCAGCTTCTTATTGAAGGCAGCAGCCTTTCTAACAAACTGTATAACAACAAGCATGAATTTCCAAACGGCAGTCATCACTGTTGTTTAGACAGACAAAACATGTCCAACTGATGTGGGAACTCAACAGAATACTTAATTTTGGCCATTTTGGTGCTTCCTCCTCCCCCTTTCCCTTCTTGATGTATTCTACAGTTTTCTATTTGTGCTTCAGCAACATCTAGGGAGCTATTCATGGACTTGAACCCTGCTGTGGTACATGGCAGTTACCATGTAGTTATTTTATTCTTATTGCCTTCCTCATGTAAAAATTAGAGGAAAAAATAGGTAAATAAGAGAATTAAGAACAAGGATACCAGACAGCTAGATCTCCAAATTATTTTGTGGTGGTAAGAACGCCAAGCCCCATGGATCTTTCCCCTTCCATTGAAAATTACTATTCCCAGCATAATTTGGCAGAAGGAAATGTGTGCCTACCTTTCAACCACAGTGATGGTTGAAGTTCTCTACTTTAAGCTGCCAGTGAAAGTAGCTTTACTAAGACGTGGGAGTGCACAAGCAGTGCAGAGGAACACACATATGCTCCACGCAAATGAATCTGCCTGTTACACTGATACACAGAAGTCTGACAGAGCATGACTGTCAGGTCCCTACATTTCCCCTTGTTTAAAGTGTGGATGTGAGAGGTATTAAGCACCACAGAGCACAGGGAAACCTTTTTTTAATTTCTAAGTTCCTGTGCAGAATGAAAGTATCGATAGGAAGAAATAAACAAATGGCAAAACCAGGAAATTCTAAACAGAGCTTTATTTTACCTCTCTAATCTGTTTAAGCCATGCCTCCCTTCCACGGAATTCCTGATGAAGGATTGCAGGAGCAGAATTTAAACTGAAGGCCATGGTGTCACTGGAAGTTTCTTTAACAAATGGCTGCAGGTCCGAATGTAGCTGGAAAAGAAGAACACACACACGTTCAGTTCCCAGGAACAGTCTATACGTATCCACCCACTCCTCAAATTGAGGTCCACATCCTGATTCTACACCTACTCACCACTTCCTACTTTGACACTTGTACTCTGGTTGCACTTTTTCAAGTTTGGGGGAGGGATAGAAAGATGTTGAAAGCCTTGCAGTGGTGGAAAGATGTGGTAAAGAGAAGCAAGAGAGTCTGCAAAGACACAGATAAAGGACAGCCTGCGGAGCTGGGCAAGCCATGGGACACAGCCAGGTAGGAGACTGTGGAGTGGCAAGAAACAGAAAAAATGTAAAGGAGAGAATGATCCAGTCTTTTGTGGAAAGAAGATCAGGTTTTCATCTGTGCAGACTATTACATTCTACTTTTGAGTACCTGAGGAAGCAGATACAGTATGACCTTCCTTAGGACAAAGCAAATGCTACATAGCTAGAAGTTTTCTATGAAAATTATGCAATCCTTAATACACAACTATGTGTCAATGGTGAATATATTAATATTAAAGCATATAGAGAATATTAAGGATATTACTGCACTTGAAGTAATTTACTGGTAGAATTGTACTTAGTAATAGCATATAGTGGCATTCCTGTGGCAGTAAAACTGTGCTTTATAAAACCACTTCCTTCTCTTGTAGGAACTAGAAACTGCATAAATCAACCCAGCTGAGGCAGATGGGAGGTCTGTCTGCCTGTCTCAAGCTACATCTAACCTCACAAGTGATGCAATATAGCAGAAGCGGATCTGTGTCTTCTTCTGGACTAATTCCAGCTGCAGACTCAATGTCTTCTAGTGGAGGTCAGAGACCTGGTCCAGGAAATCCTACTGCTGTAGAGGTGTAGGATGCTCCTGTCCAGATATGGTGACCGACCTCCTCACGTTCTAGCTGCCCTCTATAGAAGTTCCATCCACAGCAGGTTATTCAGAGGGGATATGGCTCAGTCCATGCTGCTGCAGACAATTGAGACTCACAGCACAAATCTCTGCACAGCAGCAGCCAAGACCCAACACATTATGTACAGGGCAATGAGAGGCTGGAAAGCAGTGCTGCAGAAAGGGTCCTGGAGATCCTGGCTGACAGCAAGTTGAGCATGAGCCAGCAGTGCCCTGGCAGCCAGGAGGGCACAGCCTCGCCAGCCGGGCAAGGGAGGGGATTGTCCTGATCTGCTCTGGGATGGCCTCACCTCGAGTGCTGGGGGCAGTTTGGGGCACCACAATACGAGAAAGGTATGAAACTATTGGAGAGTGTCCAAATGAGGTTACAAAGACGATGAAGGCCCTTGAAGGGAAGCAGTATGAGGAGTGGCTCAGGTCGCTTGGTCTGTTCAGCCTGAAGGAGACTGATGGGAAACCTCCTTGCAGTCATCAAAATCCTTGTGAGGGGAACAGGAGCAGCAAGCACTGATCTCTTCTCTGTGGTGACCAGTGACAGGGCCTGAAGGAATGGCCTGAAGTTGTGCCAGGGGAGGTTTAAGCTTGGATACTAGAAAAGGTTCTTTCCCAAAGAGTGGTTTGGCACTGGAACAGGCTCTCCAGGGAAGTGGTCACAGCACCAAGCCTGACAGAGTTCAGAAGTGTTTGGACAATGCTCTCAGGCACAGGGTGTGACTCTGGGGGATGGTTCTGTGCAGGGCTGGGAGTTGGACTCGATGATCCTTGTGGATCCCTTCCAATTCAACATAGTCTGTGACATGTTTCCTCCTGCAACTCCTGTTAATGGGACAGTGGATTTAGGAATAATGAAGGAACAGAGAAGGCAGAGTTTTAAGCTGCTGCAGAAAGATGTGCTAGAAGGAAGTTAACAGAGCCTTTAATTGTAATGAACTCCATTGCCAGGAGTGTGATCTTGGTAGTTCACAAGCTCTGTTCATACCAACAGTTTCTGCAAACATCTCACTCCATACAGCAGTCAAATTTCTCAACACTCACCTGCTGGCTAAAGTCTACAGTATAAGTCATGCAGTATACAACAGAGCGCATGAGCAACACATCTTACAAGCCTTTCCTTCTATATTTAAGCTCCTAGAACAAAAGAAAAAGGTGTACCTTATGACTCATAGACATATGCTTCCCATACTGGAATGCCATGTCCTGGATCTCAGGGCTGTGCTTTGCTAGCTCCATTGCAGCCTGGCAGCTCTTGGCCAGCAAGGCACTGTGTGACAGGAAAACCTGCTCCTTCCACCTAGATATGCCAATGTCATCTGTGAGGCAGTTCTCCTGAAAAGGAAACAAAGGCTGACATGAAAACACCAAAATTGCATGTGTCAGCTCACAGAAGTTAATAGTGTGGCAGGGGTGAGTAACATGTACTACATAACAAAACAAAGTCTGGGTGCCGTGGTGACAAATAAATAATTTTAGGGATGAACAGAGGAAAGTATCAGAATAAATATATTGGCTGTTTCAAACAAAAACATTTTCCATTTTCCTCTAAAAAAGTACAGTGCAAAATATATGGAGCTGTCAATAGATTAAATATAAATATTTTTTTAATTACTGTATCATCACACTGAACATTAACAGCCAACTATAGCCCTCATGAGGGACTGGCGAGAAAAAAAAACCCACAACCAAAACTCCAAAACAAACCAAAAAAGCAAACCAACCCCTCCAGAGTACACTTGCATTTCAGCCCCTTCCCAGTTACCAAGAACCAACAATTCCAAACAAACTTGACAAGTCCCTACAATTTCTCCTTTGTAGTCAAGAAAAAAAAATAACTATAACAGGTGTTGAAAATTCTTATAGACTGCACTGAAAAAATGAAGGGCCATGAGAGAGGGCTTGTACTTCTTCTGCTCCCATATTAAGGGTGAGGAAAGTATTAAAAAATAAATAAAGTTGCAGGTTAGAAGTGTCAAGGATTAATTAAATTTCTCAGGAGCTGACAGAGTCAGTTATGTCTCTACTGAACTTTACCTCCTTGACTGTAGGGTCAGAGATGCTCAACCTGTCTCAAAATATTTTGTATCCAATGTATTTATTTGGATTACTTTCCACAGTGTTTTAATTAACACAAATGAAATACTTCCTCCCAAAATCGAAATTCAGCTGCCATTTCTTTGACTCATAAGGTGTTAATATGCTACGAATTCACTCATGTCTTCAAAGCTAGACATTACTTTAATCTGTCTCACATACTGTCATGCCTTTAGGTACTCTCTAAGGAGGGTGGAAAAAAAACCCTCAAAACAGAAAAGATCACAGCTGTTTTGCTTAGAAACAATAAAATCAGTAATGAGAAGCTACAGAAAAAAAAGCACAAAAATGTTTAAAATTTTGTAATTACTTACTTCACCTAAATCTGTACTGCACAGTAAGCCAAAAGATATTCTTTAACAGAGTAATATAAAAACCCCTCTTACACCACAAACCTTTTCCCTCAAAGTTATGTCAATTAAATTACTTAGAAATGAGCAAGAAGTAATTCTGTGTGACCCTATAGTTTTCTAGCAAGGTATTATCTGTCATGAAATCAGTAACAAATGAAATAGAATCCATCCGTTCAGCTCTAATTTTCCTCCCTTATGGATATCACCCAGAAGTGCTGTGTTACAAGGGAGAGGATAATTTGAGACTAATGGAAAAAGTAGGAGAATTCTGCAATGCCAAGTAACACAGAGCTGTATCAAAATGCCTTTGCTTTCAGACATACTATTAAGTTATACAAGGAAAGTGAAGAACAGTGAAACCACATGTTTGTTATTATGCATATGACAACTTACAAAGTCAAGCCTAAACTTTCCTCTGTTTCTGTATTTTTGTTTTAATATTTTAACTCAGCCCAGAGCATGTGCAAATTCCCATGACTGGCAAAATGTCAAAATGAGCATTTAATTCAAGTAGTTTCCCGTATATCAAGTCTCTTTTTTTTTCCATTTAGATATAGGTCAATTTATTTTAAATTTAAAATCAGGAGCTGTTGGAAGACGAAACACAATCTTTTCCTTAACAACCAATCTGCTCAGTGAAAAAACAGTACTTACTAAAATTCGCTGGATGATACTGAAAATTGGCAGTGATTTTTATAATCATTTGTTTTACATCAATTAAGAAAAAAATACTCTACAAAGGTATCCTGAAACAATTTTGAAGTTAACAAAATATTTCAGAAGACCCATAAATTGAAAATGACTGCTTTCTGTAGTCTTTGAGCAGCAAGAGAAGGGCAGACACTATCCAATATCAACTGAAGGAATTGAAGAAGCTTAAACAGTCATTGCAACTCAATGCATACAAGAAAATTAATTCCATGATTTGTTACAAAATATATTCCTAAACAAGTTTCAATTTCATTAACAGGATTGAAAATGATGGCAGAAAAAGTTACTGTCCACTACATGAACATTATGTAAAAGCTTCAAGCACCTAAAATGAGCATCTAACTTCAAAAAACCCACGAGAATTGAACACATTTTTGAAGACTGAAATCTTAAAAACAAAAGTATTGTAAATCTCTGGGCTACAGAAACAAGCCAGTCATAAAAAGGTATTATGTCCATATGGATGTGCTTCAGCATATGAACTTGCATGCCAGAATATAGCTGATTTTAATTAAAGAACTTCTTATGACCACATACCCCTAAAGCTTTTGCTGCTTAAGACAGAGGCAGACACATCCTTTCTTCAGCAAAATTTTCCAACAATGCAATTTTTTCCCAAGGTTAACTCTCATGTTATACATAAAGTGTCTGCCAACCACATCATATTCTTACAAGGGTAGGTAGGACAGTATCTAAACACTATTTTAAAAACATCAAGGGAAAACCCAAACTACTTCTAGACTGCAAAGGCTGTAAAATCTGATATCATGACAGCTCTTACTACTTCTAGAGAAATTTTCACTGCTTTGTAAGCTTTGTTTTGTTTTGTCAGCAGTGGGTATAGAAGTGGACATTAGCTGGCCCAGAAGACTCCTAAGACTTTCTTATAAAACCTCTCTAAAGTCAAATGAATTCTAGTTGCATTTGGCAGTGCTCAGACATTTGATTAACTAATGCTTGTGGACTGACCTCATTCATAAATTCTGTCACCAAGAAATGGGTGCAGATCACAAGCACCCCTGATGCTGTCAGAGGGGCAGGAATGGTGCATGGAGAGAGCTGAACCCCTCACCATCACTGGAAGAAAACAGCCAACTCTAGAGACAGTTTTCACAATGTCAGCATGAGTGCACAGGGAAAATATCCAAATACAGCTCTGTCAATCATCATTTCCAGTGGGAAATGAAGAACAGCTGAGGGTGCTCCCATTTTTCTATTGGCAAGGTCAATTACTGCTTTGTTAGAAATTGTCTAGTTGAGATTTTCTTTTATTAAACTACTTCCATGATTTAAACTGTGTTTAAAACAATCACCTCAGGAAACAAAAAACTTTTAGAAAATTAAACTGTAGGACAAAATATGTGATCACAACCATCAGGAAGGGCAGCTCTCAGTGACAGTACCAAGGATCTCCAATACAAAAGCAACACTTACAATAGCACAGTTTGATTTATCTCACCAAAGAAGATTCTTATATGAGGCTCAGCTGAAAATGTATTAAGGAAATATGAATGAAAAATATGTCTTAAAAGTGCACAAACCCATTTGCAAAACTAAGAAGGAGCAGAAGTCAGAGACTTTAAACTTCAGCTCTAGTTTGTAACACAACCTATCATTTATTTCCATACCATGGCGGCTCTTTCTTAACCATCTGCTCTTGCACAAAATGATCCAAATGTCTGAATCATTTATATCAAACATTAGTTCAGTTCTCCATGGGCAAATAATCCACAGAAACACATAGAAATATTTTTACATTGCATATTCAAAGTTTTAAATGAGGTAGTTCAAGAACTTATATTTTACATAAATACAATCCAGTGCAACTATGAATGACTCTACCAGCAGCAAGACCCTGTAAAACATTTCACACATGGTTCACATAAGCTTTCAGCAGATGTATTCATGCTTGCTGAACATGACAGGGCTTGTTTTATTGGTCTATTAATATCTGTCTTCACTGCTTTGGGAAGAACAAGGGTGTCCGAAAATGGGTCAATAAAGCAAGCTACTGACTACTTTTATCATGACACTGTAAAAACAACACCACCTGGTTTTAAAAGAAAAGTTTGTAAACTTATCATAAAGATAAATATCTCTTCACATCTGTTACTTTTAAATCTCTCTGGAAAACCTTAGTATTTAAAAGAACAAAAGCAGTAAATAAATAACATTGGTCTTCTTTCTAGCTAGGCTCTTTTTCCCCCAAACACATTTTCCTATTCTTTTCACAGATGCTCTTTACTGAAATTCCATATTTTATGCTTATCTTTAGTCATGCAACAAAAACATTTGTTTAAAAAAGTGAAAGCTCTGGCTCTGCTGCTCTGCTAAAAGGTGTTTTACATAACTCAACATATATTTGGTTTACTTTCTATAGTAAAATAATAAATCCATTACTTATAATACAGACTCATAGCAGTCAGTTGATGGACATGAGCAGTATTCCAAAACATTACTCCTCAAAGCAGGGCCAGGGACCAAACATCAAACAGCTCACTGCACTAGACCATCCTTTTCTGGAAAATAAACTCATTTTCATTAAAAACCCTACCGTGGTCTAAAATAAATTCCTGTTAATTCACTGTTTGATATAATGAGTACTCACTACTAAGGCCTTAATTTTTTAAACTCATTTTACATATTAGCTATGCACAACTTTCACAAAATTGCATCAAAAATTCCTAACAGCTCTTCTGGCCATCAACAGAACATGTTGGGAATGGTCCTGTCTTACACAATAGCCCCACGTTGACACTATAATGAGCTTAGTTAATGCACATTTATCACCAGCTACATATTCTGAAGACAAAAAAAAAAAATTGCCAAAACCCAACCAAGCTATTTCCCCTCAAAGTCCCTCATACTTTACGATTACAAGAGCATTCTAGAAGGTTAAGCACAGGAACCAAGACACTGAAATCCCTCTCTTGGTTCTGCTGTTTGGCCTTGAGCTTTCTTTTATCTCTTACCCCTGGCTCAGTGAATTGACAGGAATATTAAAGTAACTCCCCTTAGCATTTGTTAAATGATCTGGAATATTAAAACAGAGGAGGTTTATAAATATGACAGTATTCTCTGAGTTAGCAAACAATTTAGAAGTCTTCAGCCTCCTAACAGCTGGAAACAGAGACTCAGAGCAATGGGTTTTTTCTGTTAAAAACAGATAACCACAATCACAACTGAAGGTCTGACTAGACAATTTTCAACTTTGCGCTCATTTTTGCTCCCAAATTAGACCTAGATTTATGGAAGGCAAGTGGGAACTGGGAAGAATGTCCTTAATTTGTAGAATTTTGGGCTGAGAGGGGATTTAGCACAGAAAACTGCAATAGTTTATCATATTTCTTTCAGCTCCAGGTTATAGTCCAACATATAAGCTTAATATGGCTAATGCAATATCTTAAACCACAGCAGCTGTTTGTTACTTTGAACACGAGTGACAAGGCTTAACCTTCAGGCTGTGTCAAAGCCTACACTTCATAGTTTGTATTGTCACTTCAAATAATGATGAAAAGTTAAATATTTGCTTTTTCTTTCCTGGTTTCACACAGATCTAATGATTTACCTATGCAGAAAAGATGAAACATGATCAAACAGAATGTACTAAAATGGGACAGCTGTAGGATTGCACGTGGCTGTGCAGAGGAAAAAAAGTGGTAATGGAGCTGTCAAATAATTATATCCATTATACATATTCAGGAGTAAACCAGGTTAGTCTTGTTAGGTCAAATGATTCTTTGAACTTTCCTACTGGGTTATCCAAAGAAGACCGAATTTTTTTTTTTTTTTTTAAACATGAGCTTAGGGTCTCAGAGAAGAAAGGTTAACTTTGCAGAGATAATTTGTATTTTTGTCTACAATTCAGGTAGACATTCAGCGAAGTTCAAAACAACTTGGTGCTAAGTTAGTTCATTTTATGGTACTAAAGAGCTTTAAAACAACTGCATTAAGGACATTTAACATATGAAGTACAGTTTTCTTGCCTCAAGGAGGAAAAAAACCAAGGTGAGAAGACATCCTTCTGCTTTTCCAAATTTAGGACATTCCTAGCAATGAAAATACCATTACTAGCATCCCTGTGCCCTATTCTGAAAATGAAAAATAAGTTTGACATTTGAGATTTAGTTGTGGAGCAGAATAAAGCATTTGTCTTACCTCTGGGAAATGTAGTTCATAATTTTGTTTCAATCAAATTGCAATTAGGGAAGGAGGGAAGATGCACAAAGGACACAAATAAGACAGATCAACAACTGAGCTAGTCTATTTGCCAGTCTTTGCTAAAGAAATGTTCAGCACATGAATGGGACACTGCCTCAGCAGAAGAGTGCAGGGAGAGCAGCAGGGATATGTCTCAGCACAACATGGAACTAAATTTCTCAGAGAACTAGATAGAGAAAATTGAAGCAGATGCCACACCTTGTTGTAGGTCTCATCAGAAGCCACACACTACCCATTACAAAGGCTGAACTTCAGACACTGTCAGGTAAGTGTCTCTATTACGGCACCACGCTAATTGTGTTTTGAGTTAACTGGGCTCCCCTTAGGAAGGGTACAGTGTACTTGCAACTCTCCTTAGACAGAAATAGTCACTGAAACAAAATAAGTCCTTGCTATTTGTAACTGGGCCAGGGCAGGGTAAATGTCATGCAGCTGCACTTAAGTTTATCTCACACTTCCCCTTGCAATCCACACATGTGGACAGCTTCAGTAAGGCAACAGAAAATAGAAAAGGAATGATTAAGAAAGAAAATATAAAGATCTTCTGCAGTGGCAGTAACCCAAATGAGTCCACAAGATTTCTCATTTACAGAGGGGCCATGGTTTCAAGGAAATGCAGTTTCATTGATGAGATGAACCTGTACAGCTTTACCTCTATACCTGAAAAAGTAGAAAGTAGATGAGTGTTTTTAAAATATACCTGCAATCTACTCATATTTAGAAATCTGCTGGAATATGGAAAACAACATTTGAACTATACTTGGCAAAAATCTCAAAGATGTCATCTATTTTAACATATAACCCTGAGCATGGTCCTTGGCTGAGGTCAGTTTATACACAGGTTAAACACAGCAGGTGCAGAAGCACCGCCAGGTTCCCAACACTGTCCTCCTGCCACACTTCCACCCAGGATCCAGTCCTGAGAGGTGCCAGAGGACTCTCCAGGCATGCCATCCTTTCCATGCATCCCAGGGGCCATGGGCAGCTCCTGAGTGTGCCATTACTGCTGTCCTGGAGGCTCTCACTCAGCTCGGCAGTGTGATCATTCCTTTCCCTGGCTTCAGTCAAAATGACAGATACGCCTCAGTGAGGTCAGTTTTAGTGACATGGCTTTGCTGCTGCAGAGCAGGAGAGACACAGAGCGTCCAGGGGAGCAGCACCCTCCAGAACACAGCACTGCTGTCCAGTGCCCACTGTGTGTTGCTTGGTGCAGAGGCATCAGGGCAGGCATCTGCTGTAGCAGCAGCCCATGAGAACAGCATTTTACCATGGTATCAATTTGTTACATATGACAACACAGCAATAGTAAACCAGGGCTGCAATTTCAGTACACAACACCTGCTGAACCGTGAGATTCAGGTCTCCAAGGCAAGTGAGACAGCACCACTAGAAGTGAATCTATCTACCTCAGTGGACTTCAAAATCAATACTCACATATACAGAGTGCTCATCAGTGACTGAAAACTTGCTATGATGAAACCTGTAGAGGTCATGGCAGCTTTAAATTACTGATTTTATTGCATATGTTAAGACATGCAATAAAATGAAAAAATGGAAAAAAACTCTAGTTTGAAAGTAAATGAAAAAATGAAAAAAACTCTTTTTTGCTCCAACATGCAAGACTAATTAAAAAATGGCCTCTAGATATTCTAGTAAAGATAAAAATACCTACATCTAAATTTGACCAATTTTCATCTACTGTTCTTGCCAAACAATAACACAGAATATCTGCAATTGCCTTTGACGAAATACAAGATTATTTGTTGTGAAATACTGGCAGCTATTACCTTGGCCCATGCTGACTTCTGAAATATGTGCACAGTGACTTCTGATGGAGAAGAACACAGGGCTACACTCCTAGCACTCCAGGACAAAACCCAGAAGAAAGGACACGTCATAAATTTGGGAAAAAGCATTCTGTAAACCTCTTTGGGCTTGGAAACAAGAGCTTTGACATGAAAATACTAATGATGTAGACAACATAGTAATGAATACCTCTAAGAGAACCTTGGCTAGGAACCTCTGGAAGCATTTGGAAAGCCTGTAGTAAGATGTGCCTAGATCTCCTGGTAATGACACATGACAGTATTCTATTAAGCACTCACAAAAACAAAATACTTCCTCCTTGAGTATTTCTAGAAACTTCTATCAGAGCTTACAGGTGTCATAATGATATTACTGCTGAAACCCACCAGGACCAACAACTCTTGTGCCCTCTCCTTCCTTTTAAACAGGTGAGAAAGTCATTGTATTTACAGCAGTCACACATTAATATCACCAATTGCCTAGGGTACATAAATCTAGTTAAATTCTTACCTCAGATGATTTTGAGTTTTCATAATATATCCCTTGAACTAAGTCACCAATAGCACTTGAAATGAGTTCCACAACCTGTAAAAGAAAAGAAGAAAAAGCCTTACATCTTTAATTATCACCAAATTGACTAACAAAGCTACTGCCAGATTTCCAGAGAGATGAAGCAGGAAGAAAGCTAATTGTGAAAGACTTCAGGATTTACTGAGATATAATCTGTGATATGTCTCTGCTAAAACATCTACTACAGTAACTCTTCTATCAAAGTTTTAAGTTAATATAAATGAAAAACAAGACTTGTTTTTCCTACAGTGTGAACTATAGAGTGTATTCTCACAAGGACGTTCACAGAACCAACAAATCCCAGTTCATGAATATGAGACAGTACCTCATCTGGGCTTTGTTTTGTTTTGTTTTTTTCCTGCCAAGTAAATACTTCACAATACCTCTCCTTGGGAGCTGTTAAAATTCTAATCTTCGTGGCTAATACAGAAAAGTCAGAATCCATAGAAAGGTAACCTTTCAAACGTGATCATTTGGTATTCAGGTGCCCTGGGAATGCACTGTGGATGTATTTAGTGCATGGCCTGAGGCTCAGCTGTACCACATACACTGAAAGTCTGCAACACGGGAATGTTTAAATCAGATTTATCAATCTGTATTATCTTCAGGGTTCAGGCTTTTTATTTTATTCAAGCGAAGCCTAAAAATCTGAACTTGATCCAGAATGTAAAACAAGTAGTCCACGGTCTCCCTGGAACTACTGTAAAATTTAAAGTTGTGCACATGAACTGTCTTAATTGGAACAAAATACTCAGATTTATTGTAAAATTAAATGCAGGCATTTCAAATAAGCACACCTTAAGGCTACCTCTGGTTGCTCACAAAGTTTTAATTTCTTGAATGTTTAATTTCCTATGCATATGAGTCTGTATCTGATTCCTCTTTTTGCTTCCTAAAATTCAATGTAATTCTTATTGAATTAAAAGATTTAGTTTCAATTGTTATCATTCTTGTAACTGAAGACAAGAAGTCAAATGATAAAAGCCCTAATGGAAAGATATTCTAACATTTAGGCATGCTTTATTTGATAATAAAACCACATTTGTATGCTAGTTTTGAGTACTAGCAGAAAGGTTGTGTTTTCTTTTTTTTAAACACTGGTTCATATACATATTCATATACACACAGCAAGCGCTAACTTTAGAAATGGTGCTGATTAAAAGTCATGTTTTTTCTTGCAATGCATATGGGTTAATTTGCAAGACCTACAAAAACAGCCTGAAAAAAAAAAAAATCACATTGCCCTTTAGGAAACTAGACACCAAAGAAATATTGTAGCAATATGAGCTTTGAAGGAACTGAAAGGACAATGATCCTACAGTGTTACCAGATGTGTTGAGTTATTTAAGCCCCTTTTTTTTTTTAAGGTATCAGATAAGCCTTATTCCCAAATCCAGGAGGACTGAGTATCGCCAATAGGTCTATGAAAGTCTGTAACTAAATGCCCAGGATCAGATTGTATTACAGTTTATACAAGCAACATCCCAAGATTCTTCTGATGGCTAGGACACATAATACAGATCAATCACTCACTCAAAAATGTTATGGTTTGTGAAATGGTCTGAGCTCAGAGACCTACACTGGTAATACGAAGAGGAATTTACAAAGACACAGAGTCCTACTCTAAATGTCAAAGTGATAGTATGAACTTTTAACAATGCAGCTGGCTCTGGATAACTAGACCTTTTCCTCTCTTGCCTGAAACTCTAGACTGAGCAGGACCCTGTTTTGGGGTTTCTTTTTTCCACCTCTCCTCCCTCTTTTTAGTGCAACTCTACTCTCCAAGGCAATTTTAACTGACTTAATACAAGCTTGGTGAAACATTTGTGAACAATTGTACCTCTTCCTCTAAGAGTTTATAGAACATCCTAGGAGAACGACAGAACTACTATTTAGAATAATCCTTATTATATTAGATACCATTTAGTGACATATTGAGTATTATATGTTAGTGAGAATTTAGTATTAATATTACCCCCCTTATTTCCAAATATATATTAAAAATACTTCTAAGGTAAATGTAAGGCTATACAGATCACTACCAGGAATGGAATTCCAGTTTCAAGAGCACAGTGGGATGCTTGCATGAGGCTCTGTTACCTCACCAACCCTTATATCTGATCTCTTGCTTAACATCAGTGGCCTGGGGTCCTGAGCACTGAGGAAAGAAATGAGAAACGAGGAAACCAGGCAATTTTCCTCTGCATCCCAAAACGACAGAGGAAGAAAAATTATTACGGATTCAGTAGTACTCATGAAATGATACAGTGTCTAGCTCTTATGTAGCACTTTTCATCAGAAAATTTGAAAGCAATCAACATCTCCTGTTAAATTTATTCCCTACTGTTTTATATAAGGAAAAAATGGCTACAGTGAACTGATTTTCCAGAAAATCATGCAGTTTGCCAGCACAGGAGCAGCAAACACTATCTGAGCTGTCTTCATTCTCATTGCTGCCTTTCTGCCTGACCAGTGCTGACATTTCTGAGATGTAAGTCTGAGGAGACAGAAGTTAGGTGAAAAATGAAGTGCTCTCAACTGCTTCTCTTCTGACAGTTGAGCTCCATTTTGAAAAGGTTCAGAGAAGAGGGAAGAGAAGAAAGAATTGCCAGAATTAGTGCTTGAAAACAGCATCCCAAAAGAGACCAAAGACAGCCTATTCATAACCTCTCTTCCCACTGTTTTCCACTCCTCAACATGTTTTTGAGAAGCCTGGTTCCTCATAGGTACTCGGGATGAGCAGGAGCAACCACACGCTGAGAGAAAACAAACTTCCACCGTATTTTTCATTTTCCACTCTGCATCAGCATCTTCCAAAGTGCTGTTTTAGACTGGGTATTGCCCAGGGGATAACCCATTATTGCAGGTGACAAATGCACAGGCAAGTGATTCCATATCCTTTAAACACATTTTGCAATAGTGCTGCCAGTGCTTCTTCTTTTGTTTTTCTTTACAAGGAGGTATTACTTCAACACTTTTTCTAGGGATGTGTTCTTCTGCTTTTAAAAAGTCAACACAAAGGCCATCTGTTTAGGATGAATACAGGGAAAAGAGATGGATTGTTAAAGCTAAAAACTCTCCTACTACTTAGGCAGACTAGGTGTATAACATGATGTAAATTCTGGACACAACAATTTGACTGCTCATTCCACAGCAAGGTAGAACACATGCTCTGACCTCTCAAATTCATCCAAATATAAAATAGTTCAAAAGATGATGCTGTGTTTCAGTCCCAGAAGAGAGAAGAGCTCTATAGGAAGATGATGCTGTGTTTCAGTCCCAGAAGAGCTCTATAGGGCTAAAGAGCAGAAATTTGGTGAAACTTAATATACCCATTTCAGGTTGTTTATCAAAAAAGCAGAGCTTTAGCCCTTCAAGACTTTTTAATTTTACTTTGAGTCTAATTACACAAGCTCAAAATTTCTATATATTACTTGAAAAAATAAATATAAATGTTGGTAATTCACTTAGTTCACAAACTTACTCAGGACATCCAACCAATGAATGTCCTCCTTAATTTTCCTGAAATTAGAATTTAATGTAGTTTCCTGAGGACTTATCTATAAGAGCTCAGAATTCCCAAACCATCATACATGGTGTCACATGGGCTACCTGTTCACTGTTGCAGGTACAGCAGCCCAGTTCATGACTGCAGTTGCCTGTCAAGGAAGATTCAACTCTGTCTAGAGAAAAAGGCTTATTTTAATGGAAGTGAAGCTCCATGCTGGAAGAAATGCAGGGAAATCACAGAATAGAAGACATTTTGGTAGAGTACTTTCACCAGAGTTAAAAGATATGATTCAGACTCTATCAAGCACAGTAGAAAGAATGAGCCCCACTCATCCTTCACAAGGTTTTTAAACAACCTGGATGAAAAGACAACACCAGTGTCATCAATTCAGCAACACAAGCACTTTGCTCTCTTCACTCATCTTCAAAACACTTTGTGTAAAGTTTACTGCAACATAACACCACTTAAAGGTTTTTCCCTGGTTTTCATTCTAGTTTACAAAAGGAATGAATCTGAGCTCCATTCAAAGAATGGGCATTTTATTTCAAATTCAACAGCTGAAATGGAATTGATTACACAGACCACTCTGTTTCAGAGTAGTAACGTGGTGTCTCTCCAGACTCTACTGGATATTTTCAAGGGAAACATCACAGAAAGGATGAAGCTCTTGTGGGAAGACAGGAAGCAGCACTAGGAAGAACACAGCAATAGGTATAACTTTGTTCTTCATCTCTCACAGTTTCTATTTGACAAACTTCCTTAGCTTTGCCAAATTCCTTCCGAGAAGGACCACAAGTAATTCCTTCCATCCTTACGTTGAAACAATACCCTTTCCTCACACATCTGCAATTGACAGACCCTAATCCCTGCTGCTGATGTGCAGATTTGAAAATGTAGCAGGACTTCTCCACAGAAATAAAGAAGAAAATTAGATGGGTCTCCTGACCATTATATATACACAGATAAAAATTCCTTCAGCTTGCATGTCCCACCCCAAAGAAGCACTAGTTTGAGAAATGCACTGACACTCAAAAACTCCACAGAAAGTTGACCCAACAACATTCCAACACTAGGAAGCTAAAGACAAAACTCAGCAAAGAGCTGATTTTTGGATTTTGATTGTTCAATAATAACTTAAAAAAACCCCAAAAACCAGGGGGAGTGGGGGTGGAGTGAAAACTGTAAGGAGTTCCAAGAACAGTGAAATTCAGTTTTCTTTCCTGGTAATCTCCTCTTTAGTCATACAGGTAACCAAGTGTGCCAGCCTACAGAATGTTTTGTTTTTTTTTTAAAATCTAATGTTTATTGAATCCTATTGGATTTATTGTATGAAATAATCTTGAGCTTTACTGCCTTTTGGATCTGGCTGTCTCTTAGCAGTGAAAACACAGGAAGGACAGTGATTTGCCTTTCCAGCATGCTTTAAGTGGTCTTGGAAAACAGTTATGGTTTTCTTCATTCTTTAATGATGAATTAGTAGCAAACTGCAATATAACAATACAGT